AAATTTTAAAAAAAATCATCAAACATAAATCAATATTTAAAATTTTTTTTAAAAATAATTTTTAACGGATTTAAACGTTCAAACCTTTAATCAAAACGTTAGCCGAACGATTATTTTTCAATTATTATTATCATCATTTTAGGTGGTTGGAACGTATTAAGAAATTTTCAAGTATTGAGTTGGGAATTTAGTAAAACTTTAGTTAATCTTCATAACGAATATGGCGTCAAACCATTTTTTTCCATATCGACAATCGCAGATCCTCGTAACGCGAGTAAAAATATTTTATTCCTGACACCTTCCGGACTCGGACTCCCCGATAAAAGTTATTATTATAGAGAAAAACAAGATCGGGTACTTTATTATTATTATTATTATTATTATTATTATCATCATTTAATTAAACTTGCATTTATGATTAAATAAATTTATTCGTTAAATTTAGATGTCTTTAAGTTACATTCGTTACATGAAAGACGTTGCACGTCAATTGGGTGCCACTTCGATAGATGCAAATTCATTTTCCGAAGACATGTTTTATTTCGAAAGGAGAATTGCCGAAGCCACGCCATCGAATGAAGAATTAGAAAATGTTTTCAATCACGAAATACACACGATAAACGATTTAAAAATGTCAGCGCCTTCGGTAATAATAAAATCAATTAACATTTATAAATATATTTATACACAAACATAAAAATGCATTTTCTTACGTAATCAATCTGATTTTATGCAGTTTAGGCAATGGAAAACAAAACGATCGCGTATTTATCTAAACATTCCTACTTTTTTAAAATTTCAGGTTCCGTTGCACGAAATATTAGACGCCATGTTTCACAAGGAAAACATAAATTCCGACACTGAAATACTTTTAACATCGGCAAAATATCTGACGAAAATATCAAACATAATAGCGACGACTGATAGAAGCGCATTGAATAATTACGTCATATGGAATTTGGTTAAAGAATATTTACCGTACCTGAGTCAAAATTTTCAAGATATTTATTCGGTGTACGTGCGAGAAATGACAGGTGCGACAAATTTATTAGAACGTTGGGAATTCTGCATAAAAACGTTGCAAAAATTCATGGATGCGGGTTTGGCGGCACAAATTGAAAATTCATCATTTCGAACGGATTCTGATAAAAATAACGAAATAATTGGTCAAATATTTAAAACGGTTCGTCAGACAATAAGAGAAAGTATAACGAAAGCAAAATGGGTTGATTTGGAACTGTACAAACATTTCATATCGAAGGTATGAGGTAACGTTCAAAAGAACGGATCATAAAACCTAATTCGAACGGGTTTTAATAACGATGATGATGATTATTTACAGTTGAACGGAACGACGATACAAATCGGTTTTCCAAACGATTATTTAGATTCGTCACGATTAGAAGAATATTATTCGAAACTTTACGTACAGAAAAATAATTTTTTTCAAAATATTTTATACGGGGTGTCATTTTTACAAGAAAATAATAGAAGGAGTTACGTGAATCCAAAAAGCGAATACAGGTACTAATGTTTTAATAATAAACATGAGAAAAAATATCAAACCGGAAATAATATTTAAAAAATTTTTTAATTTTTAAGGTGGTTATCGTTAGTTTCGTCCGAATCAAAAGTAGAATTTGTACCGTCGGAAAATAAAATTATAATACCACAAAAATTATTAAATAAACCTTATTACGAACCTGAATATCCTATTCCGGTACTATACGGTACGTTCGGTGTTGAAATATCGAAAGCTTTGGTATCGTCACTTTTCATGTATTCGGGATTGTATTCTTATAACGGTTCCCTCATAAACACTCAAAGTTTGGTTGCTAATTTATCGATGGTATCGATCGATCATCAATTGAAATGTTTGATCGATTTACAAATTAATAATAATATCGAAACGGATTTTGAAAAATCAAACAGGACGATTTTAAAAACGTTCACGGAAATATCAGCCGTTAAACAAGCATTTAAAGTAAGCATTTACACTTTTAAAGTTTTGAATTAACTACGTAATAATAATAATAATAATAATAATAATAATTTTTCTTACCTGGTCAGTCGATGAAGAAATCTACGTCGGATGTCGAACACATACATCAAGCCGGATTGGAAGATTTCGATGACGAAAGTCTTTTTTACATCGCCTACGGACAAAGTTTATTTAACGTTAAGACTGTACAAGAAATTGATAAACAAAACACAACCGGAAATAGTTTAGACGGAAGAAAACTGTAAGTTTACCTGTCACGTCCGGAAACTCCCACTCTGTCTCTCTCCCACTCCGATTGATTTTCTTTTTTTTTTTTTGTTTTTTTTTTCAGGTTGCAACTTGTCAGATTACAATTGAAAAGTTTTTCCGAATCATTTGATTGTTCACAACCTACGAATTCGTGCAAACACATTTTGTAATAACAAATTAATAAATAAATTAATTAACAATAAAATTTTATTTATTTATTAAAATAAATAATTAATAAATTTAATGAAAAAAAAAAAAAAATAAAATAAAAATTTATGTATGATCTCAACAACAACATGCAGATGACGTGAAAAAAAAAGTTTTTTTGTTCGTTCGACGCGACGCATTTAATAATAATAATAATAATAAAACTTTATTTGTTAATAATAATAATAATAATAATAATAATTTTGTAAATAAATTATTTACGCGTCAAAAAATTTTTTTAATTAAAATTATAATTATTATTATTATTGTCGTTTATTTTTTTTAATTGAAAATTCCAATCTTAAATCTCAATATTTAATTATTATTATTATTATTATTATTATTATTGTTACGTCGTTTTGGCATTGATTTTACAAAAAAAAAAACAAATAAAACAAATAATTTTTATTGTTACGATCGGCAAACAACAAACAGAAAAACAAAAGAAATTATGTTTTCCATTATGTTTATGTTTATGGACGAAACAAACATTAAAAAAAAAAATTTATTTAAATTAAAATTTATTTATTTATTTAATTAATTTTTTTTTTTGTACTCTAAAAATTTAACATAAAAATTTCATATTCACATTTATTTATTTATTTATTTTTTCTCAAATTAATAATTAATATTGCGATTACAAAATAATAATAATAATAATAATAATAATAATAATAAAACTACAAAAAGCAAATTTTAAAATCATTTCCAGTTCATGGAATGATCAAGATTAAAATTTTGGATGGAGAGAAAGAGAGAGAGAGAGAGAGAGAAAACAAGTGATACGCAGTGGGTCAAAGTTCAAAATTAAAATGAAAATTCAATTTCCAAGATTTTAATAATAATAATAATAATAATAATAATAATAATAAAATAAAAAATAATAATAGTGATAAAAATCCTGGAATGATTCTGGAAATCTATTTTTTTACGATTTGATAAATTCAATAATATTAATACTAATAATGATAATAAAATAATTTTTTTTTTTTTCTATTTTTGGAAGCCCTTAACCCCCTTCCTTTATTATTAACGATACGTTTATTATTATTATTATTATTATTATTATTATTATTGATTTATTATAAAAAATTTATAAGTTAATAATTATTATTCCACATCAACGTTGATTTTAAATATTTTTCGATACACGTGTATATATTTACATTATAATTACATTATAACGAAAATCCTTATAATGATAATAATAATAATTAATAATAATAACAATTTTTATGAGTCGCGCAAATTATTATTATTATTATCAATGTTGTCGTCATGTCTTCGTTTCAAAAATTAAAAAAAAAAAATTATTACGGTAACAAATAATAGAATAAAAAAATTAAATAAATTGTTTTGTTATTTGTGTGGGGGGGGGAGAGAGAGAGAGAAGGGGGAGGAAGAGAAGGGAAGAGGCGAAGGGAGGAGACTAGAAAAGGAGGGCGAGACAAAATACTAAAAAAAAAAAAAAAAAAAAAGGAATGAGAATAAACTTTTACGCGAGTTTTTTTTTTTAGGTGCCAACATTTAAAAAAAAAGTTAAATAAATAAAATAATAATAATAATAATAATTATCATCATCATCATCATCATCATCATCATCATCATCATCATCATCATACCCGTCACGTGAAAAACGCGCGCGTACTTATTATTTATTTCAAAAAAAATTTTTTTTTTTTCTTTTCCTATTTTCAACTTTGACCTCTCTTTCCCTCCCACCGAACGGGTTACTAACCTTCCGCCATTTTGTTTTCATATAAAACATTATATACCTACACCTAATATTAATTAATAACGATACGAAACCTATAAAAAAATCAAAAAATCGGGGGCGGGGGGGCGAAAGGGGATAAGTGTGTTCATTCCAAAATTTCTCCAGGAAAAAAAGAAAAAAAAAAAATGGATGCGACGCGTTCGTGTTTGATTTTTTTAATAAAAAAAATTTCATTCAAATAATTATTAATTAATAAATAAATAAATAAATACATGCATATACATAAATTCTATACGTCATCATTATTATTATTATTATTTATATAAAAACAAACTACGAAAGGAATGATCGATTTATAATAGTAATTCCCGTAATTATTACGCAGTCAGTCAGTCAGAGTTACTAAGCGTTTCATTGATTGATTGATTTATCGATTTATCGGATGATGATGATAATAATAATAATAAACGATGATACATGGGATTTTCATGGGCCGTAATCGATGAGATGATAATGGTAACCGTGAGAAAAATTTTATTTTACACGTTCGGACATTTTTTTTAAAAACAAAAATGGCGATTCATGCGTGAGTGCGTGTACATACACGTGTATCTATAAATAAATAAATCGACGAAACGTGTAAAAAAAAAAAAAACGTTTTCAAATACGTAATAATGATAATAATAATAAATTATTTACTCCGCGTTATTTATTTGTAAATTAAACGAATTGTTGCCAATTCATTTAAACGCGCTTCAAGCAAATTTAAAATTTAAATTATTGCATTTTAATAAGATGATGATGATGATAATAATGATAATAATAATAAAATAATGCGCAAAAACGATAACTGGAAAGAAAAAAAAAAAAATTTGCTTCGAGGAGATGATTTAATTAAATTTTTTGGGGGCACGCTAACACGTATGGAAAATTTTTTTTTTTTTTGCGAAAACAATTTTTGCGTTCCGTGACGTATTTAAACGAGTCCTGGAATAACAAAACTGGAAAAGTCGGTTTTCTTTTTACGTAAAAACCGCTTTCGATTGCCGGAAGAAAAATTCTAGAATCGTTCGGAATTTTTTTTAAATCATTTTCCGCGCGCGTTTAAGAAAAAATAAATGAAAAATGCATTGTGTCCTGAGAAAACTTTTTTTTTATGGAAAATAATCGTTTCGCCCCTCCTCCCTCCCTCCCTACCGCCCCTTACCCCTCCTCGCATTCTTCTTTTTTTAGTACAAATGGTTAGTAGTAGTATATTTAAACATTTTTCTTACCTTTTAAACGTCGAACGCCATGTTTTGTCTCTCGGATCACGGGAATGTTGGATAAACAAAAAAAAAAAAAAAAAAAAGGGAGGGAAACCTGGAAAATTTGCTGAAAATTTAAAGGTACAAGGTACAACAAAAATAATTTTTTTTTTTTTTTTTTTCGATTTTTCCGAGTGGGGAAAAATTTTCATTTGAATAAAATAATTTCCGAGTTTCTCGCGTGCTATGAAAAATTTTCAATTTTTTTTTTTTTTTTTAAAAGGAAAACCAGCACGCGAGATCCCAGATCCCGTATCATTATCGTCGTGGATTTTTCTTTAGTTTTCTTCTTTTTTTTTTTTTTTTTTCATGTGAAACGAATGCGCACGATCACGTGGGCATCCCTTTTCCTTCTTCTTCTTCTAATGGTAGTAAGGATTCGTAAAAAGGTGAGATGGGAGGAGAGGGGAGGGGGTGTGAGTGATTGATTGAACGTGTGTGTATGTGTTTGAGTGTGTTTGTGTGTGAGTGTAAACATTGTGTGATATTGAATAATAATAATAATTTAAACGTCGAGGTAATTTTCCATTAAAAAAAAATTTTTTTTCTCGGTCTCTTGTAATATCTCACATAAAAGCCTCTTGAGACTGTCTAAACCTGTTAGGAATCCCCCATCGGGACCGTGATGGACTCTTTCATTTCCGGCGGATCCGAGTTTGTGAAACGTCGTGTGAGCAAAATCAATCATTCGAACGTCAACGTTATCATCATCATCATCATCGTCGTCGTCATCCACATCATCATCCACGCCATCCACGTTTTCCTTTGGAATTGTCTTCTTTTGAGACTGAGATGATGACGATGATGATAATAATAATTTCTCGTCGGAATGTTTAGATTTTCTCATCAACACTTCCGGTCCGGATTCCGAATCCGATGAATTGTAAAAAAGTTGAAGTTGACGGAGATCCAATTCCGTGTCCGTGTCTATGTACGACGAATCTTTCGAATGCTGTCGTGACCTTTTTGCCGCCGAACCCAAATTGACGTCGACGTCGGAAGAACAACTGGAAGCTGATAAATCTTCCATTCCAGAGGAATATTCCTTTACGAAACGATAAAAAAAAACAGAAAGAAAAAATCGATTAATCGAAATAACTGTACGTCACTCATTGCACAAAAACAAATTATTATTATTATTGTTATCGTGACGTCGCCATTTTGTATTTTTTTTTTTTTTTTAAATTTTCATTTTAATTCACACAAACCTTCCAATTTCTATTTTCGCGACAGGAATTGGCGTCTAAAAACATCGTTTCCTCCGATATCGGTAGAAAACCTGAAAAAAGAAAATAATAATAATAATAATAATAATAATTAACGTAAGTCAAAGGACATTACGAGTCGTTAGTGATTGATCTTAATGCTTGAAACCGGAAATAATTACCGGATCCTCTCGCTGCAGCTTCCCCGAATCCTCTCTGATGAGAATCCTTACTTATGTCGTCATCCAATCCGATATTATCCGCGGATGAATTTGAATTGTCAGCATCGTAACTGCTCCCTGGAAAAATAAAATAAAATAAAATAGAATTTTCGTCGTTTCGGAACAACATAAGTAAAAAAAAAAAAAAAAAAAAAAGGAAAATTACCGTTGGCATCCCTGCTCCCTTCCGAATGTCTCGTACATTCTTCTATACCACGAGGAACCACAAGTTGATTTTGATATGAAAGACTATTAACTCCCGGATAATCGTTCCACTCCTCTTCGAAACCTTCGTAAACCACTAACAGGGAACTAAAAAAAAAAAAAAATAATAATAATAATAATAAAATGATAATGATGATGATAATAAACTTTAATTTTTATTTAAGCTAAGTAAACATTATTTTTTTTTTTCATTTTATTTATTTAATATTATATAATTATTTATATATTATTCAAAAAGTTTTGTACAAACGTTTGGAGGATCTCATTCACCTTGCGGGGGAGCCCCCACAATTTTCTTTTGTCGTGATGACGTCATGATGATATGACTTACGCGCATTTTTTTTTTTTTTTATACTCTTTTTGACACATTTTTTACGTTTAGCGCATATATGAGTAATGACCGAAATCGATTAATCGATTCGCTCTCGATTATTAAATTACTTTTTTTTTTTGTTGTTTTGCGTGTAAATCAACTAACCATGAATAAAACCGATAGCTCGTTTGTTTTTCAATAACGTGTCTTAATTGTTCCAATTTTGTCAAAACTTTTTTTATCACGTGACTACGGAGTTGATACCCGTTGTGGAAAAACCTGTGGAGTGCCGTTTTGAAACCCTGTTCGTCCAATTCTCTACCCCAATATTTGTCCCTTTTCATGTAATGATCCGTATCCGCTTGATACACCTAAAAGTAGTAATAATAATAATAATAATAATAATAAATTTGACTTATCTCGTCGTGCTCAAAGTGTTTTTTTTTTGTTTTTTTACGGTGAAAAATAAAATGATACGGATAAAAACCAGAATTATAACGATTACCTATTGTATTAATAACTATATCATCTCGGTTTCAACCAATCAACGTTCCGAGTGATTTTTATTATTATTATTATTATTATTCCCTTTGATAATTACAAAAAAGAAAACTTGACAACGTCATATATATGACTAACCTGCATTCCGCACAATCTTACTCCGAGCCTTGCCGAAGTACTCGAAGCGCATTTTGCCATTTGTTTCGTTCTTTTTTCCGCTGACGCATCGTCACCGTGCTGTCGAGTACCCATTTTCAAATCGAGAATACACGGTTGACGATATCTCGAAGTTATATTTTCTAACAATAAGAAATCTGTCATCGAGGTTGGTTAAGAAAAAAAAAAAAAAAACACCTTCTTTCTTGCAAATTATCGAACGGATTCGAACGTTTCGAAATAAATAAAGAAAATTCGAAGAGATTTCCCAAAGACGGGGGGAAATCGGAATGAATGCAAAAAAAAAAAAAAAAAAAAAAAAAAAAAAAAAACGTAAAATCTGCCAAGTAACTTCTTGAACAAATAAACACGTTCCAGGAGGTTAAAGCTCAAGGACATTTTACACTTAATATATACATTCAGGCACGGATTCGAGACCGGAGATTTTTTGTGTTGCGTGCCTGCATGCGTGAGTTTTTTTTTTTTTTTTCTTCTTCTTCATCAAAATATTTTTTACATAACGATCACAAACGTGATTGAATTTAAAAAAAAAAGCATAAAAGGATACACTGTCGATTTGTGCTGTCCAAAGACGTCGAACCACCATTCCCTATGATATCCACATCCGTTTTCTTGTGAACTTTCATTTTGAGAACGTTGTCCCTTTTTCTCTTCGCCGCGGATTTATTTCTTTCGTCTTGAAAATTCGGACTGTATCTTTTATCCAATTTAATAGACCCGCTATTAGTAGCTTGCATAACGCCTGAAAACGAAAAAAGGTTAAAAGGTTAAAAAGGTCAAAAGGTTTTATTAAAAGGTTATACGATATTTTATTTTAAAATATATTCGAATTACTTAAAAATGGGATTCCCCCCTTTTTTTTCCAATTTCTTTATAAATAACTTATCAATCAGACAAGGTTAATAACAATTCATTAATCAATTTTATTATTATTATTATTATTATTATTATTATTATTATTTTTAATGATTTAAATAAAATTATCTTTTAATTAAAATAAATTTAAGAGGTTGATTGTTTTTTAATTAAAATCCCTCCCCCCCCCTTTTTTTTTTTTTTTATTAGGCCCTAGATTGTTGTTGTTGTTGTTTGTTTGTTTGTTTGTTTGCCAAAACAAGTATTTCATCTTTTTTCCTTATTACCCGAATAAATCAACAAAAAAAAAAAAAAAAAAAAAAATGAAGAAAAAGAAAAAAACCTGTTATGTTGATATTTCATTCGTCCGAAAATTTCCGTCCCGTTTCGAATTGGATGATTATTTTCTTTGAAAACTCACGCGGCTCACGATGACGAAAATTTAATGTGGCAAACGACTCACCTTTATATTCAGGTACGAAAATTTGTATATCTCTAGGAAGATTTCGATAAAAGTCCAATTCTCTTGGATTCAAAGGCTTACATATGGTGCTTTGATTCAATAGCAAGAGACGAGTGTGTCCGCCGACTTGATTTTGCAACGGAAACAACGAAACCTCATCTTCCTCTTGTTTTTTCGTAATACTGATGACGTCCGACGACGACTTTGTGAAATTATCGTCGGATTTTCCACGGGTACCCACCGCGACCGAACGCAATCCGACACTCTCCGAAACGTCTTTCCCATAAATCGTACCCTGTATGAATTTTTTGCTAAATGGATTTTTACCCTTGATGTACTCCCTCTTTCCCCCGCTTTCATCGTTGACGTATTTACTATTTCCGGTAACGTATTTGCCGCCGAACTTTCCCTGGACGTATTTTCCGGTGACTCCGTTTCTATATTGTACATCTTCCGTGTCGTCGCTTTCGTAAAAAAAATTTTTCCTTTCGCTTTCTTTTCTCTTGTCGACGTCGGCATCGTGGTCCGGTTTTCGCTTTCCCTTATTGTTTATATTGTCGAAAAATTGAAATTTCGATATTTCTCCGAAAAAACTCAGTTTGTTCGCGTTGTACGGTATAAATTTTTTTATCCCGTTCGTAACCGTGGATTTGTTTTCATCGTTTCTCCCATCATCGTACCGACCGACTTTGTTTCCCTCGTTGAACAAATCGAAATTTCTATCCTCGCATTTTTTTCCAATACGAAATGTAGGAACGGATTCAATATTGGTGAAATCTCCCATGCCCTTTTCTTTACAAAATAATACCATTCCCCCTTCTCGAAAGGATCTTCTTCTTCTTCTTCTTGTTGCTGTTGTTGTTTCTCCGTTGTCGGATCTGTGTGTGTATATGTGCCTGTAGTTGTGTGGGAAAAAGAATTTTCCGCTAAACTTCCTGAAACAAAATAATAATAATAAATTTTACTCTTAAATATTTTTAACGATCGACTAATATGTCCAATAAAAAAAAAAAAAAAAATTTAAATCTACGCATTTCAAAAAGTGATTCATTTAAAAAAAAAAAGTTTTACTCGTTGTCGACTCGAGCGTGGGCATCGGATAATTAAAAAAAATCAAATGGTCCGAAACCGCTGTTGCTGCTGTTGATGCTGTTGAGAAAATAAACCGACCGAGCCAAAAACAAATCATATTAAAAAAAAAAAAAATAGGAAGGAAGTCTTAAACGAAAAAAAAAAAAAAACTTTCTCATTCCCAAGTCGAGTTTATTATTATTATTATTCAAATATAATGTCGGTAGAAAAAAAAAAAAAAAGAAAAAAAAATGGCCGCCGATGAGTTTTAAATACCGAAGTTGTGGGAAAATCTTTGAGGCGTTTATATGAATCATCAAATTCCGAAACGCATATTAAAAAAATTTTTATTTACGATTCGAATAACCTTCAGGTTCGTCGTAAAGTTTAATGGAAACGCAACTTTGACCTACAGGAATGTAGTGTTATTATTATTATTATTATTATTATTATTATTATTATTATTATTATTATTATTATTACACGCCTGCTGCAGTTTGATCGGTTTCGAATGTCGCGCGTGGTCGTCTGCTTAATCGTCATCATCATTAGTGGGTTTAACGAGGATCGACGTGTATTTTCTTTATTTATTTCCGGTTATTTTATGCTTTGCTTGGATTATATCCAACTTCCGGAAAAGATTTAAGTGTGCGACGTGTTGATCATGATCAACATTGACAGTCACCTTCTCCAAGTCTCCGACAAATTATAATAAGCCGACTTTTAATTATAAACTTTCCAATTTTTTTTTAAACATTTTTTTTAATGCGTTACTTCTTTGCTTTCGAAGCGGAGAAATTTTTTAACGCGGCGTAATTACGAGTATCAAACGATTTTTTTTCTTCTTTCTTTTTTGACTTAAATTTATTTCGCGGTTCAAAGTTCAGGCATTAACATTAAACATTACCTGTAATTATATCAAAGCCGCTTTAAAACCTAACGACGCCTCGAGTACTTGTATACTAATAATCACTGTTACTTTTTTCGTAACTAACGATCGAAGGTGTAATAACTGCATTACATAACACTATGTTATGAATCACCCACATGAATAGATTTTTTTTTTTTTCTTTTTTTTTTTTCATGTTAATTTTGTATCACCCATTCGCGAGAGTTATCTACTTGGTTTTTAGTAAAAAATTTCTTCTGCCACTTTAACCAAAAAGGAAAAAAAACAACGTACTCGCACGTTTTCCTTTGTTTTTCTTTTCTTTTCTTTTTTTTTTTCAAAAGAGCGGGAGAAGAACAATTGTAAGAAAAGAATAAAAAAAACATAACGGACGTGAATTTATGTACGCGTAAATAATAATAATAATAAAAAGAAAGTGGATTTCACGTTCTAAATTCTCATTCTTACATTTTTTTGCAAGGATTCTTGCATAATGAAATCCCCGAATCTTTTTTTTTTTTTTTTTTTTTTTGTTTTTTGGCAAATATAAAGTCGTCGAATCGATATAATTGATTGCGAATTTGTTACATAATTTAACCATCGCTAACCTTTTTAAAAAAAAAAAATTTTATTAATAAATGCGATAAAAAAAAAAAAAAAAAAAAAAACTGAATGGCGACCATAAAGGATATACGACTTTTTAAGATATTCGCAAAAAAATTGTTGCTGTCGATTCGTATTGTTGCTCTTGTTCGTCGGTTTGTTGCTGTGTTCGTTTGATTGTGGTTAATAAGATACCCGAAACGATTTCGTGCAAAGTGAAAAAACACAAAAAACAACAACGTTTTTTTTTTTTTTTTTTTTACATACATTTTACAACGTGATATATCAAAATGATATTCCTTGCAATCGAGCTAATAATTTAAACGTTTTTGTTTAGGCTATCGCACAAAAAAAATTTGTCATTCAATTGCACATATAAAAAAATTCAATTTATCATCGAACGATATTCATATAGAAATGCACGCACACACAAAACACTTTTTTCTACAGTTGTGGCGTTACAGTCGAATGCATTTTTTTAAAATTTTTAAAAAGTAGAATAAACAAGTAAAAAACCGCAAAAAAAATCAGTCGTAACGAGATGCGAAAGGCGTCTGAATTTTTTTTTTTTTCCCGGGGAAAAAATTTTACAACACCATAAAATTTTTTAAAAATGCATCATTATACCTGTGAGAAATCGGGTTCGACGCGGAGCGAATGAAAAAAAAAAAAAAAAAAAATGTGTAAGAAAAATAATAATAATAACGAGAATGAAGTCGCATAAAACTTTGTAAAAACAAGTTAAGAAAAACGTTTCCCCACGAAATCCCTCGGGAAAATGATTAATGAAACAATCACTTGGTATATAGTATCAGACTCAATTTCGTATGTGTGACACCATCGCCAAAAATTAATTAATTAATATCTCGAAATCGAGGTTGTCGGAATAGGGCAATTAAACCGTTACCGATTTTCACGCAAAATGAAATTGCCAAAGACGACGTGCAAAGAAAAAGAAGAAGAAGAATAAGGTCTATAAATCAGTCGCAACAACAACAACAACGTTCGAAATAAATAATAATAATAATAACAATTATAGAAATAATAATAATAACAACAACAACAATAATAATAATAAAAATATTCTCTTATCGCTTGCTTTCGTACTAAAAGATTACGAGAGAGAAATAAAAAAATAAAAACAAGTTGATAAATAAAAAATAAAATAAACTTGCACAACAAACAATTACTTGCGAATCCGGAAAAAAAAAAAATAAAACAATAATAAATATAAATGAACACATTTACAACCACCACGTGATATATCCAATAAAAATAATAATAATAATAATAATACGAAACTTACATATAAATAACATTCAAAGACCTCAATGCATACAATTATTACGTTTGTTTGTTTCTTTACTTTGTATGTGGCAATGTGGCTACGTTTTTCATTGATGATATCGTTACGCAAAATTTTCCACCTCAAACTTTTCCAATTTTTATCTTTCTTTTTTTTTTCTTCTCGCGGGCGGGAAAATTATAGAAAACGAAACAAGAGGAAAAATCAAATAACGAAAATGTATATATATATCACCGTGTTACGCAGGAATAAATAAACCTGAAAGCATTTTTACATTCGAACCTAAAGAAAATTTACAGTAATTTAATTCCGATCGGATTATTATCATTCCCGTCTGATAACCGACCAGGATGTACTACAATTACTGACTATGATAAATTAAAATTCTTTCAAAGTCATTACAATAACGCAAAAAAAATCCTCCATTCTTCCATTTCTCTCCTCCACCCCCACCCCCACCCCCAACCCCACGCCAAACGCAAGGAAAAAATAAAAAATAAAAATAATCCAATAAATTATCATGAGTAACCTTTATATCAATAACATTGGCTTTCTTTAACAAAATAGAAAAAAATAGAACAATCATCTTTTCTCGGTAATAATTAATACTTATTTACAACTCGTATGTTTTTCCTACGAAACATGCATTTAAGTTCTACCCTCGGTTTTAAGAAAACTCTCTCGTGTGTGTGTGTTTGACCTATATTTTTTTTTTATCCTGGCACAAAACTCTTAGGAAACGTAAAATAAATAATCTTTAACACGAAAACAATGAGAAAAATTTTTAACTCTCTCTCTCTCCACACACACACACACACACTCTCTCTCTCTCTCTCTCCACACACACACACACACTCTCTCTCTCTCCTCTCCTCTCCACAAAACAAACATGCACGATTATTTGTGCAAAAGATTGCATGCATGCATGCATTTATTGCACACAAATAAAATTTTATGCAAATAATTGCATTTCTGCGTGAGAGCGTTTATCAGAATTACCCGAATAGCTTATACGTACGTACAGGTTCTTAATATAAATATAAATTTATAGCAGAAGAAAACAAAAAAAAAAAAAAAAAACGAATTTATTTGTTATTATTATTTAAAGCTTGAAAACTTTATTATTTTTTTTTTTTTAACAAGATTTTCAAGGTTTTCATGAAATTATTTTTTATTTTAGAATCCCCGCCTCTCTACTACTACTACTACTACCAATAAATAAAATGACATTAAACGAAATCGGACAATTTTCTTAGAAAAAAAAAATAAGGACGTTAATTTTTTTTCCCTTCACAAAAAGAATAAACAAATTTTTTTGTTTTATTTTCCCCAACATTTTCACGTGTAAAATTTAAAAAAAAAAAAAAACAGAGAGAGAGAGAGAGAGAGAGAGAGAGAGAGAGAAAAGCATACATAAAAATTTTCCAAAGTCAAAAATTTATAATAAAACTAGTTTTAATCACTACTCAATAGTCAATAATAATAATAATAATAATTATTATTATTCTTAGAACCGGTTTTTGTACCCTGATAATAATAATAATAATAATAATAATAATAATGTAAAAAAATGTTGTTTAATATCAAACATTATTGTTTGATAAGACCGCGAGTGAAATTTTTTTGTTGTTTGTTTATTTGTTTGTTTAATTATTCAAATCTAATTAAAATTATTAATATTATTATTATTATTTGTTATTATTATTATTATTATTTCCATGGCAAAAAATAAATAAATAAATAAATTTAAACGGTTCATCCCAAATTAAAAAAAAAAAAAAAAACAATAAAAAAAAAAAAAAATTTTTTTTGGCTCTAAAACGTTAAATGTGAACTTCAACACTGACCTAAGCCATTCAACATAACATTAACTCAATGACTCAAAAAGTAAAAAAAAAAAATTTTTTTTATGATA